TAAATTTCATTCTTGGACGCGAAATTTAGCAACATATCCGTTTACCCTTCGCGAAGAGTCCCAATAATAAAAGCTTCCTCTTCAATGAGTATTTTTTTCAATGCTATCCAAATAGCCATTGCTACTCCACAATCCACCACTAAGCTGACGTCGGCTAAATCATGGGAAGCAGCACGTAAAAGAAATTCCACATCTAATTCCTGTCAACATTTCACCAACGTCTGCAGATCACATGAGCTCAACCTCAACGCAACCCTTAAAAATATGTTGTGCTTATATTGCCTCATTTGAAGTGAAACTCGCTAGAAATAAATTATCATGACGCTATTGAAACGGACAGGAAAAGTTTATCGGTTAATAGGAATTAATCGATGAAGTCATAGGATTCAAATGTTTGGAATGGAATGTCTCAAGAGAGGGAGAGAGAGTAAACGAAATGAAAACATTTCGCCGCTTTCGTGCCTCACCTTCAAAAGAAGTTTCCAAGCCGTACCCTGCACAAAAGTTGTTGAGCGTGAGGGTTCTCGTCGTGCTTGGGTCGCCTGTAAAATGAATGGTGTCATTTCTGCATTTGCGATTGGATAAAACTGGGATCTCCACTTCCGTCAGCTCCTCACTGAGGATATCGGATGCATCATGACCCCAACCAGCCACCTGACATCAAACTAAAGATCAACAAGAAGCCATGAGGTAGGGGAAAGCGTGCACAAGAAACTCCATGTCTTACCCATCCTTGCTTTCCATTTTCGAGGTTTTGCTGCGACAGATCAAATCCAGTTGGGAGACATACTATCTGCACTCGGTCGGTTAATATTGCCGGCTTAGTCAGTCTTATCAGGGCAATGTCCGAGTCATAATTCCAGACGTTGGAGTGTTCGTGCAGGATGATACTGGACACCTTAAAGCAGACCATGTAATTTTTTTCATATTATGCTCAAGTAAATTGGTGGGAAGTATGCGTGAAAACTTATGAATGACCTGTTTTTGTTGCACGAATTCATCATCCAGGGAATTATTCCGATAGTGTTTTCCGAGGTAAACAATTAAATCATCTCTGTTCCGAGCTCTTGAGGTACCATCAATGGTAAGGCAAAGAGTCGCGGTAAGGACCCACTCCTCGTGAATGAGAGCCCCACCACAAATGATATCTCCTCGTTTGACATCATAAATTGCAGCCTGCCATGGCCACCCTCCGATAATAGACGGAGTTCCCCCAACTGACCTTTTCAGCCGTTTCGGTACACTTCTTCCACACTCTGGAATTTGAGCAGATATGAAACGTTTCTGAAAAGTTCATCCTGAAATGCGATAGATGGAGGTTTGGAACATCGATGTTCCAACTGACCAGGCTCGCAAAAAGGAGGCTGTCCCGTCCACTGCCCATTTTTCCTGCATGTCCGAATCGGTGTTCCCTGGAGAAGATAATACTGACTGCAGGTGTACGTCACAACGCTTCCAGTCGCATGTATCCCATTCTCGATGCATTCCGTCTTGTTTTCGCCATCTACCTCTTCAATTCCACTGCTATGATCGGCCCTCAAAAAGCAATGAAAAGTTCAGCTTCTTCAACTGAGGCCAAGTTTGCAAGGCAATGTTTGCCAGCACACGTTCAAGTTCACGTAAATATAGGTCTTTGTATTATCACAATCGTTATTGGAGTGACTTACCTCTTGGTAATATCGGGGCAAGATAATATTCTAAAATATCCGTTTTCAATGACAGGAGATTCTCTGCATCCACTGTCGTCGCCGACTGAAACACGCAGTGATCACGATTTATTTTTGCATTCAAATTTCAAGATTATTTCAAGTTTTGCTTTCTGTGGGAAGATGACAATTAACATCTAACTTTCATTGTGCCAGCCCCCGTAATGCGGCAAGAAATGAACCAGTTAGTTACCTGCTAGAAATGAACCGTTAGTTAACTGCCTTTGGTAAAACGCCGGAGAATAAGGACATGAAAGCGAAAGTTGCTCCAGGAAGAGATTACTTCGCTTCTCAGAGCGGCATCAAGTGAAGCGTGCATTAATCGCAGCTCAAACGCTGCAACTATTGTTTTTATACTCATTTGCTATGCTGCACGGGTCCCTGATTCTGTTGACTCGAAATGCTATACAGGTATTACCAATAACAACATATGCTGAACTTTTTTTTCCATGCTGTGCATAAAGGACAGTGTTGGTGAACGGCGTCATAGTGATGGCATTTGTTCATGTTCTTTGGCTTTCATTCCGTCATAAATACGCGACGATATTGGACAAATTCGCTGTTTCCTGCAGAAGTATTGTTTCTCTCCGACACGGAAATCTTGGATGGAAAGGAGGACGATTTTATACCTCCTTGCATGCCGTCGAATCGATCAAGAATGCCAGGACTGAAGTCTTGCAACTGCATGATTCAAGGCAGGAGTTATACAAAAGGACAAGTGTCTTCTAAAATTTCGTTATTAAAAAATTGGCACAGAGGGGACCTAGAACGCATCTTTTACTTTTAAACCTAGAATATTGATAGCTCTAGAAAGGAAAATGTACGGAACTGTACGCAATATACAATATGACGACATCCTCCCTTTCCAGCTACTGGAAGCAGCAACACTTGCGGAACGCTGGGGAAGAGAATCAGAATCCACATAAATGGAAGCTGACTCTGCAATGTAGTATTAAAACGGAAACCATTCATCAAATGCTTCTTTCAACAAACGCCAACCCCCTCCACCTCGTTTTCATGAAACTCCCTCATAGTAGGCCTAGGCCTACCTTATCCCCTTCCACAGAATTTCAATCCTCCACTTACGGGAAAATTTAGCCAATAAGACTCATTCTCGAGATTTTCTAGATGTTTCCCTGAGGACGCGTAATGTTGGGCCGATCTGGAGATTCTGGAGTCACCTGCCTCCGAAATTGAAATGCATGTTGGGCGCAATCCCCTTAATTCAGGAATGTCCGTGCAGAGTATACCCACATCCCACCACCACGCACGGCTGGTGCTAACCGCCGTTTCAATATCATTTAAAACCAAGGAAATCAAGACAAAAATGGTTAATAAATTTAAAGGAATAAGTTCCTGGCACCGGTACGGAAGGCGAAGCAGTCATGAATCCGACATAACTCTTGTACATTATCCGGCAACCCTGGGAGACTGGACTGCTCCTGCAGGCAAGGCTTAATTGAATGACAGGTAATTTTTTTAAATACCTTAATTGTAGGTTTCATAGGAAACAACGAAAAGGACCCGTTTCGGGATATAAAAATCAATATCTTCCTTTCGGTGGGGATACATCGTCCGAAAATACCTCAGTACTAACTACACAGAATGATAGGAAAATTTTGAAATTGCATCATAAAAATGCTAGATTCAATGTCCTCCGCAACCTCGGCTTCAAAAATTTGTTGGAGCGATACTGTGTTGAGAGAGAAGAGCACTCATATTTGTATTCATCAGGATGCTCTCAGAGAGGAATGCGAAGAGGTTAAATTTCCGTTGAATGTAACGGGAAGAGGATGAAGGAAGATAATGGGCTGCACCGCACTCATTAATGCCCCAATTACAAAAAAGCTTTGTGGAAACATATCTATACCTTCGATGGAGAGCAGTTCCAGTTTCCTTTTCTCGACGGCCGTCTTCGAAGCACAGCAACGAAGGTCTCCGGAGCACCGGAAGAGATCGGTAAATTCCCTTTCACCATCATTCTGGCATCTACCTGGAAGGTGAACGGGCAAGCAGCGACCGATCGTAGTGTCGCATTGGGGGAGCTCGATATTTGGGTCTTCATTAAAGAGTGGTAAGGGATCAGATCCACTTTCTTTCGATTCTGTCAGCAACTGACAGCAAAATTCTTCCATCTGCTTGCATTCTGTTCCGTCCTTAACGGTCCCGGGAACACAGACATGGACGTTCGGCAACGATACACAATTGTGATCGCAAGTTATGAGAGACGAAATGGTCTGAGAGTCCGTCTTCAGGATACAACATGAACGATTATGACCACATGCCGTTATTGATATCGCAGTTCCCGGTTCGCACAGTCTTTCAGCCGCACTATGAATACAGGAGTGCGTGGACGGACATTCGTCTTCTTCGGTCTGGCAACAAGTTTGTGTCGCCGAAGGACAGGTGAAAGACGAGTTGCACTGATGGAATGAGGTCACCGACTGTACATCTTCGCATGAGAAACCGACGGGACACTCGATTTTCGAAGGAAGTGTCGTCGTCGTTATCGCATTGACTTTTGGTATGTCCGGTCGACAACATACCTCATGAGATCGACAGTCGTCCACTTTCGAGAGAATCGCTGTCCCCGATGCGCAGAGGGAGACGAGTTTGTTGCTGACGCACTCGTAAGGACAAGGGCGAGGACAGTTTTTCACGGAATCCAAATTCAAGTCTCTGAATTCGGTTCCGTTCGAACATCCCCCTTC